GATCATGATAATGATGATAAATAAAGCAATGTGATATTTCTTACACTTAAATGGAGTGGAGTAAAAAATAATCATACATGACAATAATAGCCCTGCTTAAAATATGTGTTCAGGCAAAAAATATTTATGTCCTTCCTGTAGGTATTTCACTTTTACTCTCTATAAACATTTAGTGAATTTCTTTTAAAACCATCAAGCTCCTACTTCATTTGTGTCCAAGAAAAGGAGGAGATTTTTGCATAGGACTGAGCAAAGTCTTGACAGGAGAGTAGTGTAATGATGCAGAATGAAACACAACAGGGCAGGAGGCATCAGGGAGAATTCCAAGGGAAAACTATTTCCACCTGAAAATTCTTCTTCCAGAGAGCTTCTCTGCTATAACTCTAAGACTCTGTGTTCTCTTATCATAACAGAAGCCATTACCTTGTATTAAGATATTAGTACAAACTTTTTTATATGTTTTTTAAGAAATAACTCACAAAACTATTAAGACAGGTATAAGACTGAATGGCCTTTGCCCGGCCAGTGTGGCTCAGTGGTTGAGTGTTGACCTATGCACCAGGAGGTCCCCAGTTTGATTCCCAGTCAGGGCACATGCCCAGGTTGTGGGCCCGATCCCCAGTGGGGACATGCAGGAGGCAGCCAATTGATGTTCTCTCTCATTGATGCTTCTATCTCTCTTTCCCTCTTGCTTCCTCTCTCTCTAAAATCAATAAAGAGCCCTGGTTGGTTTGGCTCAGCGGTTAGAGCATTGGCCTGGGGTCTGGAGAGACCCGGGTTCAGTTCCCACTAAGGGCACGTACCTCGGTGGCAGTTTGCCCCCGGCCCTGGTTGGGTTGTGTGGGTGGTGACCACTCGATGTGTCCATTTCACGTTGATGTTTCTCTCTCTCTCTCTCCCTCCCACTCTATCTGAACAAAATATCAACAAATGTCCTCGGGTGAGGAAGGAAGGAAGGAAGGAAGGAAGGAAGGAAGGAAGGAAGGAAGGAAGGAAGGAAGGAAGGAAGGGAGGGAGGGAGGGAGGAGGGGGGGAGGGGGGGAGAGGGAGGGAGGGAGGGTTGGAAGGAAGGCTTAAAAAATAAAGTAAAAAAAAAAAAGACAGAATGGCCTTTCATATTGGAAATCACTAAAGCAGAGGTTGAAAACTAGAAAGCTGTGGGCTAATTAGGCCCAAAGACTTTTAATGACCACAGAAAGTTTATTGAAACTTTTAGTTAGCCAACAAATTAAAATAAAATAAATCTGCAATTCCCAGCTTTTCTTGACAAATGAGAAGCTCTGACAACACTGGACCCCCGCATCTTCACCTGGCAACAATCAGCTACACCTGAAATCCAATGAGCCCTTTAAACACCCACAACTTACCACTGTCCAACACCTCCAATTCTTGTGGCATTGTGTCTGGCCTGCTTCACTCATTTTGAGTACCTAATGGTCCCTGAAGGCATCTTAATTGGTGACCTCAGCTCCAAAGGATAAGTGAGAAATGGTCAGTGAGTATGTAGCAACTGGGAATGAGAGGTGGCCTAGCACTGGGAGGCCAGCAAAGGCCTTGATATTCACACGTTCTCCTTCCTGCATTGTATACTAGACATCAGAGATGGAACAGGCTCTGCATGAGGTGACTCGCTTTTTGTCTTTTTCTTGCATTGAGTTACTATGTAAGACATATATATATATGTATATTTTATTTTATTTTTTGTGGTACGTGCCTCTAGCAGGAACCGAACCCGGGACTTTCTGGCCCGGCCGTTGCTCACCCGCTAAGCCAAACTGGCCAGGGCAGACATATTTTTTTCTCAATTATTAAATCCAAATAATAGGCACTCAGTGTATCTAGTTACTAGAAGGACACTTACAGAGCGGATTCAAGTCCTGTCTCTCCTGGTTGTAATAAGTTAGTAGTGTGGAAATGAATGAAAGAAACATTCAAATTGGAGTCAGAAAACTATGAAGGGGGCTCTCATGCATTACCACTCATGGAAGCTTACATAGCAAGCAAGGAGGAAGATTTTTTTCTCTGCTTGCCTTAGCACCAGCAACTGCTCTCCACTTGCTGCCAATAAGAAACTGCCACAACCTTGAACTCTCCTTTTCCATCAATAGGCTCCTGTTCAAAACAACTCTCCCCAATTTCCCTCTAAAACCCAATAAAAGCTGACCTCCCTTGTCTTCATACTTGCCTATGGTTCAACAAATTGCAATTCCTCTGCTATTCTCAAATAAATTCATTTGCTGCTTGAATAACCTTCGCTGTTTAAATTTTGTTTGACAGCTAGTTGCTTTTAAATTAATGGTGTCTCAATTTCCTTATTCATAAAATGAATGGGTTCACTTAGAATGATCATTAAGATCATTTTTAGTTGGCCTTTCCCCATCTATACAACCTCCACTTATCTAGAATCTACTCAGCCCTTGAAAGACATTTAAGTTTTACCACCTCCAAAAACCTCTCCAGACTTTTCCTTTCTTTGAATTTTTGACCTTATCATCATCACCACCCATATTAGCATTTAATAATTCTCTAATTGCTTTGATTTAGTATGTTAGTTCATTTGCCATATCCAACAGAAAATTCCTTTAAATAAAATACCATATCATTTCATTTTTAAAACCCTCTACATCATTTTACACTTAATTGGCATTCACCAATTATTTGTTAATTATTTAAAATGAATAATAATATAGAAAATATCTATAAAATGGCAAGCTTCCCAAAGAGCAACTTTCATCAGCCCTCTTAAAAGGAATCACCCTTGTCAGTATCAAAACTTGCCCATAATATGTACTATGCAATGCTACTAGATTACTATATTACTTTGCATATGGTTGTTTCCTTCCACAGTGGAAAAGCTCAAAAGAGGAAAACTACAAACAATAGCTCACTACAATAATTTATTACCCATTGGAAGATTGTTACCCACTAAATGAGGGCATGGTATAAGAACATTTTTCAACTACAATTAATAAAATCAATTACTAGAAAGTGGCTGCACGTAAGACATTTGAAAACTACAGTGAAAACCACCCTTGATCCTCCCCCACACCGGATGTCATCAGAGGTTCTGAGAAAGAGAAGGCCATAATAAGATACCATGTGGGAGGGGATTTACCCACCTTCACAGGAAAAGCAATGGGATACAGGTTCTACTTGTTCTGGTCAAACTCTTCCCCCTGACAAATAATTAAGGCTTTAGATATGTCAGAGTAAATACTTCCCTATCAAAGTAAACAGACAAGAAAAAAAAATTCAAGTATAAAATTATTTTTTGAATTTTTTGTGTCTGCCTTAATTTCTCTATTCAATTAATTTAAGATCATTAACACCCTAGTAAACTAAATTAACAAGTGTTAATAATGTCTTAACAGCTAGCCAATCCTAGTGGTTTGAAATTAAGTCAATTTTTAAAATGCTCTCCTGTGACGTAACCAACACTTAATACAGGTGCTTCCACTTAACCCATACTCTCTATAAAAGAAGTAGTTCAGTAATTCATATTGTACACAAATAATGCTTGAGAGTCTGCGGACTGAGGAATAGATTTATTCAGGTATGTGAGGGGCGAGGCGGGGAGGAGGGTGTAAATCATGAAAAATTCCCACTTGGACCTTTTTGGAAATTCTAATCTTATCCAATTTAAAAGGACAGGAAATACTGCCTATAAATTTTCCTGGGGAATCCCTGTAAAACGCAACAAGGTTTTACAATCTGAGGGAAACAACAAAAGTTCCAATATTTTTTTAGAAGTAACTTTAAAAAACCGCCTTTCAACATTCTCAAGCACCTTCAGTGGTTTGTTTTTATCTGGTGTCTCTGATCACGCAGTTAATTCACCCTCGGACGGGAAGCCTGTCAGTGTATCCACACACAGCCTCCAGAGGGCTCCTGCTGAGGTCCCTCCTCTAGCCACGCCCCCGCACAGAGCCTCGCGCGGAATGGAAAATATGCCCGGCCTCCGCACGCCCTCACACCCCCATCTTCCCTCGTCAACGTCTGCAGCGTCAACCCCGGCTAGGTTTCCCCACATCTCTGTAAAATAAAATGGACACAATTCAAACAAAACCAGAGAATGAGATTTGTCGATGTTTCTTTTACTTTAGGTGGAGGCTAGTTCTACTCTTCCCGGATCTTTTCAAAGGAGATACCACCCCAGCCAAGAACGCCCCTCCAAGAAAAGGCACACGCAACCCTGACCCCATGGCGAGCTCCAGAGGGAAGGAATACGTTCCTATGGCGTGAGAAAGACCTTGAAGTTCAATTTTCTGTAGCACGATACCCACCACACCAAAGGCATTTAAGCCTTGGGCATGGTATTGTACTTAAGATGTTCCACACACTCTAACACAAACCCAAAGTCTAGGGTAGACTCGCGAATTACAAGTTTAGGGTTAAAAGACTATGAAGGGCGTCCTCCCCAATTCCATCCGCTCAACAGGACTATACTGAGTTTTAAGGAGTAGCTCTCCAGTGACTCCATCTACAGCACCCTCCCTCACACGCACACATCACTCTCCCCGTGACCGTCGGGGGACGACGTCCTTACTCGAACACACATTTGGGGTGAGGGTCCTCCTCTCTCAGGGCCACCAGCTCAGCAAGAGATTCTCCCCTATCTGCCACTACTATCCCGCAAGGGGCAGGGCTCGGACCAGGCTACCTGGACACCCAGTTAGCAGGGGATCCCCCAAGCCCGCCTGGCCAAGCGTGGCGTGTGAGCTAGGACCACCAGACGTGACGTAAGATGTGATTAAGTTAGCGCGTCACTTCGACGTAAACCTCTCTCACCTCATGGACGTCCCGTCCGGAGAGCAAAACTCCGGGGACTTTGGGCTCCGCCCCCGTGAGGGTGGCGGCCAATGAGGGCGTTTCTGCAGGGAACAGGGCCAGTGAGACGAGCTCAGGGCGGGGCCTGGGGCAGGAGGGTGGGGCGGGTGGCGGCGGTGGCTGCCCGAGGTCTGGCTGCGCGCAGTATATGACAGTACGTCAGCAGCGGGATGGCCGTAGCTGTGGCGGCGGCTGCAGAAGCCCGAGCAGCCGCGGCCGCAGTGGAGACTAGAGCCGGAGCGGCGTCGGCGGCGGCACCCCAGGGAGTTTAAGATGGCGGCAGGGGGGGCGGCGGGCCTTCGAGAAGAGCAGCGCTATGGGCTGTCGTGCGGACGGCTGGGGCAGGACAACATCACCGTACTGCATGTGAAGCTCACCGAGACGGCGATCCGGGCGCTCGAGACCTACCAGAGCCACAAGGTGAGCTGGCTGGGCTGGGGGAGGGAGAGGGCGCCCCTCGCTGCCTGGCCGCGCCTGCCCTGCCCCAGGCACCCGTCGCGGGGCTGGCGGGGCCGTGGCTCGCCGCCGCTGCCGTCAGCGCCCGCGGAGGCTGGGCGAGTCAGGGCTGGGCAGGGTCGCAGAAGACGCCGTCCTGGGCCAGCCGGCGCTGGGGCGTTGAGAGGCAGGCGGGCGGGCGGCCCCTGGCGGCGGGGCCGAGGCAACCGCGGCTCTACCTTGGCTGCGCCTCCGCTGCGGGACTTTCCGACGGCGCCTGCGGGTTTCCTGGCTTTTTCTGTCCCAGTGGGGGAGAGAGGTACCAGGGAGACAAGTGAGATAACCACGCTGCTTATGGCTGGGGGTAGGGTGGGGATGGGGGTGGGGGTGGGGGGTGGGCGCAATGTTCCGGTAATGAACCTCTATGGATCCGCCGGCACAAGCCGTCCGCGTTTTGGGGATAACTCATAGGCACAGTGGACTTGCAGAGACCGGGACACAGGCGGTCCGCTTATGGAGGTGGGACACACTTTCTACTCGCAGGGACATAGAGACATAGGCGCTTCGTGTGTGGCAGGGCACACCGTGTACTCACAGAGATGGGGACACAGGCACTTCCCATACGTGGGGGACGCACACCGTGTACTAGCAAAAGCTGGGACACAGGCACTCCGCATACAAGTGGGGAGGGGGGCACACTCGGCCGCTGCGCTCCTAGAGACTTGGGGACACAGGCGATTTGTGTTCCTGAGACCTACCAACACCGCGATCCAGGAAGCTACACACACCCAGATTCGTGGAGGCTTCTCGTACCCGAAAGATGCCCCGCGTCTCGGTACAACCCACAGACATAGACACCTGGAACGAGGGTGAGGGTGGGGGTAGGATATACTGCATCCGGTGTCTCACCCCGCACCGTGTTCGGGAACCAGACCCAGGAATGTACAACTCTAGTACAGAGAAGGCTCATGTAGACAGACGCACATACTCTGCAATTGGAGTACAAACCCAGGAATGGATTATCACGTTAAAACAAAAAAGTGAGGGATAGAGAGCCACAGAAGAGAGACACTGCAACCAGGGCGCGTGGGGAAGCCCTTTATGGACATGTGTGGATGAGGGAGGCTCGAATGGATACATTGCATAAGGGGAGGTATGTACCATATGGGGAGGGGTAACATTTACTCCCAAGAGGAGAGACATATAGAACTCACAGCATCCTGACAAACAGCCCAGTCTATACCAAGGAAACATGCTCTAATTAACTGATCTCATAAAACAGGCACAGAGGGACACTCAGATGCAGACTCGGTTATTCAGATAAAAGTGGAGATTTAACATCTGTTGAGCTCCCACTAGTGCCAGGCACTTTAAATGCATAGAAGGAAGACAAGCAGAGCCACAGAACAGTTGTGAATCCTGGTTCACTGGGAGCATGTGAACCTCTGCCAAGGAAGAGTCAGTCACTGTTCAGAGAGGCCCCCTACATAAACATGCACACATGGGGAGATATTTAGTGGTACACAGCTTGCGAAGAACATGAACTCACACGATAGTGTAGGTGTCAACATCAGGAGAGATAGAGGTGAGCAAGCTCACAGGAGGGCACTCACAGAATTGAGTGGACACATGGATATACACTTCAGGGCACATATGTTACCCTCCAGAGAGGCATATAATGAGACACTCTCAGACTTGGGAGGGGAGGGAAGAGTGCATGCAGAGGGAGAAAGTTACTTTCCTACACACCATGAAATCGCAGGGAAAATGTCTCATGTATGGCTGGGAAGTCATTGTACATCCAGCAGTAGGAATGCAGTGATATATAAGAAATACAATATTGCATGTGTTAGTAGCTACTCCCAGACAGGTGCACCTGCAGGGAAGAGACCAGCACTAGCATAGAACATGGAGGCCCATATGGGGGAAGCCAGATAGGCAGGCTGAGGGACAGAGGCAGACACTAAGAGAAACTCAGCCCTGCAAGATGGAGATAAGATTGCCTGTTCCAAGGAGAGGACATGGGAAGGAATGACAGTGGGAAGAAGGTAGGTCAGGGGATGTAAAGAGAAAAACAGGCTGGAGAGGAAGAAGCCAGCAGGGAGAGGCCAACCTCCAGTCAGAAACAGTCCCAGGGAGCAAAGAAAGACTGACACAGGCATCTCTGGGAACAGTAGATCAACTTTGGGAGAACAACAGGTAAACTGTACAGTTGATTACAGCAAAATTGACAGACACTGTACTCTTGGCAGGGATGAGGTGTTTGAGGAGGCCCATGGGGGAGGGATGGTACCCAGGGAGAGTGAGGTGACAGAGAGGCCCTCGGTGCTCACTGATGTGTATGACCCCTGGGGCCTAGGAAAGGAGTGAGAATGTTAATTCCAGATAGTTAAAAAGTAGGAAGAGACTGGAGAAAAAGAAATGAGAGACTCTTCAGGTGACTGTACATCCTGTTGGTACTACTGCAGGATCCTCTGGCATATTTAGATAAACCTTCCACCAGTGTTTCCTCAGTGCCCTTCCTGGCTCTGGCCAGACCAGGGCTCCTCCATTGGCTTAGTTAACAGTTGCCAGCAGTAGGCTTCATGCTGAGCTTTTATTGTTCAGTAGAAGGATACTTATTTGGTATTTTACACCTTTAACCCTTATCAGAAGTAGGGCTCTTGACTTTAAATTGTAGCTGCTGTTTAGAAATATGTTGCATGTGGTAGGTAGTTGGGAAGAAGTTAGTGGTGGTCAAGCCTATTCTGTCTGGGGGGAAAATGACTCTAATTTCTGACAAAACTGTCCCCATTATTCCTGTGCTAAGATAAGAAAGTACATAATGCTTTACAAGTGGTCTCTAAAGACCACTTTACAAGTGGCCTATGCAAGGTTATGGTTATTACTCCTCCTTTTCTAATGACTTTCGAAGAGCCAGAAATTTCAACAGTTCAATTTCCTAAATCAAGCATCAGAGAGTTATTTTTATCCAGATTATTTTGTCCATTGGATTTTGTATTCTGAAATTATCCACTTGACCTAAAGCTTCAGGGAGGTAAATTCAGGAATTTTAGGAAATTATGATTTAGACAAAACACAAAAGGTCTTTAAGTATAATTGATTAAGTATATGAAATTCTTAGGGTTCATGAAAACAGAATCTTTAATTGGAGACAAGACAAAAAAAACCCTAATTGACCTTCATTATTCAAGTTTTCTATTTTTAGAGAAGAAAAGAATGCTAACTTGGGAACATTTTTAAACAGTGACAAGCCCTGGCCGGTTTGGCTCAGCGGTTAGAGTGTCAGCCTGTGGTCCAGAGAGACCTGGGTTCGGTTCCCGCTAAGGGCATGTACCTCGGTTGCAGTTTGTCCCCGGCCCTGGTTGGATCATGCCATGGCAGCTACTCGATGTGTACCTTTCACATTGATGTTTCTCTTTCTCTCTCTTCCTCCCACTCTATCTGAACAAAAAATGAAAAAATGTCCTCGGGTGAGGATAAAAAGAAAATAAATTTAAAAAATAAACAAACAGTGACGAGTGGGGGAGAGAGACATTGTGAGTGCAGGAATGATAGTTATAGTTGGAATAATTATCTCCTGAAAGTTGTTTTCCAATCAGTTTGAGTACAGAAATAGTTTCAAATTGATTTTATATAAAAAATGTTAACTGGAACATTATTTTTTATAGTTTGCAGAATAAATTTAGACATACTGATATTGATGTTGAGGATATATTGCAAAACTACTTTTTTTAACTATAGATAGATTATTTTGGATGAGGGAACAAATTGCTATAAATAAATAAATAAAATCACAAATTACAACTTGATAGTCATCCTAAATTGATGTCTGTGATTGTGTGGTCTATATAACTTCTACATATTTTAAATGAGCACATATTACTATAATTACATATTTCTCACAAATGTATCCTAAAACTATATTTAAAATTAAAACCTAAAATTCTAACATATATGCTAGCTAAATTTTTCCAATAATGCTGGCTTTATTTTAACATTTGTGTAACTTATTAGTAGTAACAAAAATCTTATCAAAATATTCTGAGGAGATTCTATTCATTGCTGAGCCTGTCAATTTATTTATTTATTTATTTATTTATTTATTTATTTATTTATTTATTTATTTTTGGTACATGCCCCTAGTGGGAACTGAACCTGGAACTCTCTGGTCTGCAACCGCTGAGCCAAACCGGCCAGGGCCTGTCAATTTATTTAAAAAAATGTTTACCTAAAGCTTCAAATGTGGTGGCTCAAATAATATCATGTTTATCTAATTATTACATAAAAAGTTGTGCACAGATGCATTTAGGGTAGGGGCTTGGTTATTCATTCTCTATCTGAAGATCAGAAAGCAGACACCTTTCAGAAGGATTCTGTTAATACATTCTCTTGTCAACTTAAATTATTGGCTTACTTTTCCTGCCTTGATTAGCGTCTTCTAGGAAAATAATAGTGTTTTGAAAGTTTGTACAAATATACTTATATTTAATTTTGCATGAGGAACTCAGTGTCTCTCAGTATTGCTTGATACTGTTATTTTCAATCAAAGCATAAAGTCTTATTTAAACCTCCAATGTAATGTTTTTCATAGTAGCTCACTTTAATGTGTTGGTTGATCTTTTTATTTTATTTTTTTTATTCTCACCCAAGGACATTCTTCCATATTTTGTTAAGATAGAGTGGGAGGGAGGGAGAGAGAGAGAGAGAAACATCGACATGAAAGGGACATATCGAGTGGTTGCCACCAGCACAACCCAGCCAGGGCCGAGGACAAACTGCAACCGAGGTACATGCCCTTAGCGGGAACCGAACCCAGGTCTCTCTGGACCACAGGCCGAAGCTCTAACCGCTGAGCCAAACTGGCCAGGGCATGTTACTTGACCTTTTAAAATCACTGATCTCACAGGTCATGGGGTGATTTCTTTTCCTTAGCCTTTTATTCTGCCAGGAGAACTTTGCATCATTTGATTAATTGTGGTTTA